ACCAGCAGGCCGGTTGGTCCACCCGGTCCACTGGACGAGAAGGCCGATTGGTTCACCCGGTCTACTGTACCAGCAGGCCGGTTGGTCCACCCGGTCCACTGGACCAGCAGGCCGGTTGGTCCACCCTGTCCACTTGACTAGTAGGCTGGTTGGTCCGCCCGGTCCACTGGACCAATGGGCCAGTTTGTCCGCCCGGTCCACTGGACCAACAGGCCGGTTGGTCCACGCAGTCCACAGGATCAACAAGCCAGTTGGTCCACCAGGTCCAATTGACCAACAGGCCGGTTAGTCCACCCGGTCCACTGGGCCAACAGGCCGGTTGGTCCATACGGTCCACTGGACCACTAGGCCGGTTGGTCCACCCGGTCCACTGTACCAACAGGTCGGGTCGGTTCGTCCACTCGATCCTCTGGAACAGCAGGCCGGTTGGTCCACCCTGACCACTGGACGAGCAGGCCGATTGGTCCACCCGATCCATTGGACCAGCAGGCCGGTTGGTCCGTCCGGTCCACTGGACCAACGGGCCGGTTGGTCCGCCTGCTCCACTGGACCAATTTGTCAGAGGTCCACTGGAGATCCTCGATGATCCTAGGGAAGGGTTACAGGCCCGTTGGCCTGGGGGGTTATGGGCGCACTCACCCGCTATATAAACAAGCCCTTTTATCCCAGTGGTTAGTGGCTGGGATTCTGACATGGTATCAGAGCGAAGGTCTCGGGTTCGATTCCCGGTGTGTGCACCTCGGGCATCCCAGTGCGGGGGGGTGTCAGAGGTCCACTTGGGATCCCCGATGATCCTAGGGAAGGGTTACAGGCATGTCGGCTTGGGGGGTTATGGGCGCACTCACCCGCTACACAAACAAGCCCTTTTATCCCAGTGGTTAGTGACTGGGATTCTGACATGGTATCAGAGCGAAGGTCTCGGGTTCGATTCCCGGTGTGTGCACTTCGGGCATCCCAGTGCGGGGGGGTGTCAGAGGTCCACTGGAGATCCCCGATGATCCTAGGGAAGGGTTACAGGCCCGTTGGCCTGGGGGGTTATGGGCGCACTCACCCGCTATATAAACAAGCCCTTTTATCCCAGTGGTTAGTGACTGGGATTCTGACACAACTGGCCGGTTGGTCCGCCCGGTCCACTAGACCAAGAAGCCAGTTTGTCCACCCGGTCCACTGGACGAGGAGGCCGATTGGTCCACCCGGTCCACTGGACCAGCAGGCCGGTTGGTCCACCCGGTCCACTGGACCAGCATGCCGGTTGGTCCACCCGGTCTAATGGACCAACAGGCCGGTTGGTCCACCCGGTCCACTGGACCAACAGGCCAGTTGGTCCAACCGGTCCAGTGGACCAACAGGCCGATTGGTCCACCCGGTCCGCTGGACAAACAGGCCGATTGGTCCAACCGGTCCACTCGGACAACAGGCCGGTTGGTCCACGCGGTCCACAGAACCAACAGGCCGGTTGGTCCACCCGGTCCACTTGACCAACAGGCCGGTTGGTCGACCCGATCCTCTGGACCAGCAGGCCGGTTGGTCCACCCGGTCCACTGGACCAATAGGCCGGTTATTCCACCCGGTCGACTGGACCAGCAGGCTGGTTTGTCCACCCGGTTCACTGGACGAGGAGGCCGGTTGGTCCACCCGGTCCACTGGACCAGCAGGCCGGTTGGTCCACCCGGTCCACTGGACCAGCAGGCCGGTTGGTCCACCCGGTCCACTGGACCAACAGGCCGGTTGGTCCACCCGGTCCACTGGACCAACAGGCCGGTTGGTCCACCCGGTCCACTAGACCAACAGGCCGGTTGGTCCACCCGGTCCACTGGACCAACAGGCCGGTTGGTCCACCCGGTCCGCTGGACAAACAGGCCGGTTGGTCCACGCGGTCCATTGGACCAACAGGCCGGTTGGTCCACCCGGTCCACATGACCAACAGGCCGGTTGGTCCACCCGGTCCACTGGACCAGCAGGCCAGTTGGTCCACCTGGTCCACCGGACGAGGAGGCCAGTTGGTCCACCCAGTCCACTGGACCAACAGGAGGCCGGTTGGTCCACCCGGGCCGCAGGACGAGCAGGCCGATTGGTACATCTCCTCCACTAGACCAGCAGGCCGGTTGGTCCACCCTGTCCACTGGACCAACAGGCCGGTTGGTCCACCCGGTCCACTGGACCAGCAGGCCGGTTGGTCCACCCGGTCCACTGGACCAACAGGCCTGTTGATCCACCCTGTCCACTGGACCAACAGGTTGGTTGGTCCACCCAGTCCACTTGACCAGCAGGCCCGTTGGTCCACTCGGTCCACTGGACGACGAGGTCGGTTGGTCCACCCGGTCAACTGTACCAGCCTGCCGATTGGTCCACCCGGTCCACTGGACCAGCAGGCCGGTTGGTCCACCCTGTCCACAAGACCAACAGGCCGGCTGGTCCGCCTGGTTGGTCCACTGGACCAACAGGCCGGTTGGTCCGCCCGGTCCACTTGACAAACAGGCCGGTAGGTCCATCCGGTCCACTGGACCAACAGGCCGATTGGTCCACCCGGTCCACTGTACCAGCAAGCCAGTTGGTCCACACGGCCCACAGGACCAACAAGCCGGTTGGTCCACCAGGTCCACTTGACCAATAGGCTGGTTAGTCCACCCGGTCCACTGGACCAACAGGCCTGTTGGTCCAACCGGTCCACTGGACCAACAGGCCGGTTGGTCCACCCGGTCCACTGGACCAACAGGCCGGTTGGTCCACCCGACCCTCTAGACCAGCAGGCCGGTTGGTCCACCCGGCCAACTGGACGAGCAGGCCGATTGGTCCACCTGGTCTATTGGACCAATTGGTTGGTCGGTCCACCCTGTCCAGTGGACCAACAGGCTGGTTGGTCCACCCGGTCCCCTAGACCAATAGGCCGGTTATACCACCCGGTCCACTGGACCAACAGGCCGGTTGGTCCAACCGGTCCACTGGACGAGAAGGCCGATTGGTTCACCCGGTCTACTGTACCAGCAGGCCGGTTGGTCCACCCGGTCCACTGGACCAGCAGGCCGGTTGGTCCACCCGGTCCACTGGACCAACAGGCCGCTTGGTCCACCCGATCCTCTGAACCAGCAGGCCGGTTGGTCCACCCGGTCCACTGGACCAACAGGCCGGTTGGTCCACCATGTCCACTGGACCAACAAGCTGGTTGGTCGACCCAGTCCACTAGATTAATAGGCCAGTTATTCCAACCAGTCCACTACACCAGCAGGCCGGTTGGCCCACCCGGTCCACTAGACCAGCAGGTCGGTTGGTCCACCCTGTCGACTAGACCAGTAGGCCGGTTGGTCCGTCCGGTCCACTTGACCAACAGGCCGGTTGGTCTGCCTGCTCCACTGGACCAACAGGCCGGTTGGCCTGCCCGGTCCACTAGACCAACAAGCCGGTTGGTCCACCCGGTCCAGTAGACGAGGAAGCCAATTAGTCCACCCGGTCCACTGGACCAGCAGGCCGGTTGGTCCACCCGGTCCACTGGACCAGCAGGCCAGTTGGTCCGACCGGTCCACTGGACCAACAGGCCGGTTGGTCCACCCGGTCCACTGGACCAACAGGCCGGTTGGTCCACCCGGTCCACTGGACCAACAGGCCGGTTGGTCCACCCGGTCCGCTGGACAAATAGGCCGATTGGTCCAACCGGTCCACTAGGACAACAGGCTGGTTGGTTCACGCGGTCCACAGGACCAACAAGCCGGTTCGTCCACCCGGTCTACTTGACCAACAGGCCGGTTGGTCCATTCGGTCCAGTGGGCCAACAGGACGGTTGGTCCACTCGGTCCACTGGACCACTAGGCCGGTTGGTCCACCCGGTCCACTAGACCAGCAGGCCGATTGGTCCACCCGGTCCACTAAACCAGCAGGCCGGTTGGTCCACCCTGTCCACAGGACCAGTAGGCCGTTTGGTCCGTCCGGTCCACTAGACCAACAGGCCGGTTGGTCTGCCTGCTCCACTGGACCAAACGGCCGGTTGGCCTGCCCGGTCCACTAGACCAACAAGCTGGTTGCTCCACCCGGTCCACTGGACCCACTAGACCAGCAGGCCGGTTGGTCCACCCGGTCCACTGGACCCACTAGACCAGCAGGCCGGTTGGTCCACCCGGTCCATTAAACCAGCAGGCCAGTTGGTCCGACCGGTCCATTGGACCAGTAGGCCAGTTGGTCCGACCGGTCCACTGGACCAACAGGCCGGTTGGTCTGCCTGCTCCACTGGACCAACAGGCCGGTTGGCCTGCCCGGTCCACTAGACCAACAAGCCGGTTGGTCCACCTGGTCCACAGGACGAGGAGGCCAGTTGGTCCACCCGGTCCACTGGACCAGCAGGCCGGTTGGTCCACCCGGTCCACTGGACCAGCAGGCCGGTTGGTCCACCCGGTCCACTGGACCAACAGGCCGGTTGGTCCACCCGGTCCACTGGACCAACAGGCCGGTTGGTCCACCCGGTCCACTGGACCAACAGGCCGGTTGGTCCACCCGGTCCGCTGGACATGGACCAACAGGCCGGTTGGTCCACCCGGTCCGCTGGACATGGACCAACAGGCCGGTTGGTCCACCCGGTCCGCTAGACAAACAGGCCGATTGGTCCAACCGGTCCACTAGGACAACAGGTCGGTTGGTCCACGCTGTCAGAATCAACGGACTGGAATGATTGAACTAACAGGGAAATCAGTACAAATAGCAAACCCTAGAATTGTGTACCCCATATAGGCTAACCCACTGTAGCCTAACCAGAACAACATATATAATGTTCGACACACCCCCATAGGCAAAGTGGGGGAGAACTAGGGGTCACAAGACCAGTCAAGGCAAAGCAAGACACAACAAGCTCAGGGTGGATCTCAAGGATTCCACACAAATTCCGAGCACAAGCTAGTGGTCACAAGACCAGTTCACATGCAGGTTTATAACAGAGCAAGAGATACAGTGATCACAACCTAGCAAGAGTAAACATGCAGGTATAGATATATATAGTGATCACAGTACAAGCAAAGTCAAGAGGTAAGTAAGTGAGGTCCAGTAGGCACAAGGCCTAGTAGAGTGCAGAAGCGCTGATGGTCACGAGGCTGAAGCGCCTTGGTGAACACATCAGCAGTGTTGGCCTCAGTGGCCACGTAGCGAATACAAAGCTGACCGCGCTGCTGCAGCTCACGAGCAAGGAAGTACCGCAGGGCGATGTGCTTCGTTCTGTGCTCCAGTCTGTGCTCCTCACACAAGGCAATGGCAGCCTTGTTGTCGACGTACAGGACTGGAGGAGAACGAGGCGGCTCTCCGAGGTCGGTCAGCAGGTAGGTCAGCCAGCGTAGCTCCTGGGCAGCCATGGCTGTAGCGTAGATCTCAGCCTCGCAACTGGAGCCGAGAACAGAAGAAGAGCGTGTAGAGCGCCAAGAAACTGAGCCAGAGCCAAGGCTGAAGGTGTAACCCTGAGACGACCGCTGAGTGGCCTGGTCGTCTGCCCAAGAAGCGTCTGAGTGCCCTGTGAGAACAACTCGGTCTCGCCCTCCAAGCACAAGCCCCATGCCCGACGTACTGCACAAGTAGCGCAACACCCTCTTAGCGGCATCCATGTGCTCCTTCCTGTGACGGCCAGGAGCAACATAGCGTGCAAGGATGCTAAGAGGGTATGCAAGGTCAGGTCGAGTGCAGGTCATCAGGTACATGAGGCAGCCCACAAGCTCTGGATACGGGCCACTCGGCTCTACGGACTCATCCGAAGGCAGAGCTGAGAGCGAGTGACCGGTAGGCAGAGGAGTGGACTGAGGCGAGGAGTACGTGAAGCCGAAGCGCTGGAGAACCTGCTGCACCATGTGTGACTGAGTCAGGGTGATGGTGCGCCGTGCTCTGTCCCGGGTGATCCGCAAGCCAAGATAGCTTGTCAGCTCACCCAGGTCTGTGCACGTGTGTCTCCTCTGCAGCTCTGACTTCACGTAGGCGAGTCCTGCAGTGTCAGCAGTGGCAAAGACCAAGTCGTCGACGTACACGAGGATGTAGAACGGCGGCAGCGAAGTGTCGGTGCGCAGGAACAGCGACGGGTCAGCTGTAGAAGGCGCGAACCCAAGAGCCGCAAGTGTAGTCCTCAGTGTGTCGTGCCACTCACGCGGAGCCTGGCGGAGACCGTAGACCGGCCGCTGAAGCCTCCACTGGGTACCAGGAGGAAACGACCCAGTGAAGCCAGGTGGGCAGCGCAGCCAGATCTCCTCGTGCAGGCTGCCCTGCAAGAAAGCAGTGCTGAAGTCAAGTGAGTGAAGCTCGTAGTCGCGGTGAGCGGCTATGTGCAGCAGCACCCGAAGAGTAGTCATCTTCGGGGTGGGGGAGAAGGTCTGGAAGAAATCAACTCCCTCTCGCTGACTGAAGCCTCGAGCCACGTAACGCGCCTTGAAGACAGGCGGAGAACCCGGCGGCCGCTTCACCCTGAAAATCCACATGCCACTGACGATGTTCGCCCCAGGAGGGGGAACCTCGTCGACGTAGGTGCGTGTGGACTTCCAGGAGGCCATCTCGGCGTCCATGGCTGTCTGCCACTGAGAGGAGTAGGGACCCGCCATCGCCTCAGCGTAAGTGCGCGGGGTCGGGATGTCTGGTGCATCCGGGTCTCCCTCAGGGGCAACTAGCAAGGACACGAGACGGGGCAAAGCAGCAGCAAGACACTGGAACTCCTCCTGTCTGTCCTCAAGGACGTCCGTGCCAAGAGCACACTCACCCCCGACGGACGGAGGACAGACAGAGTCAGACTCAGACTCAGCAACAAGGCTAGCAGCGTAGTCTAGACGACAGGCAGCAGCAAAGTCAACCAACTCAGCGACCAGAGCAGACGCAGTCGAGGACTCAAAGGTAGGGTCAGTGACAACAGTAGCGAGGAGACGCGTGACAGTAGGGTGCTCAGCACGGTACCGGTCAGACTCAGGGTCCGGAACGTGAGGCAAAGAAGACGCAGGAGGAGACGGTAGAGGGACACGCTGAGGAGCAGTAGAGGGACGCAGAGTCATGTAGTGAGTGCCTGGGACAGGAGGAGGACGCTCACGACGGACACGACTACCAGTGCGAGCAGGACGAACAGGCGACGCAGGACGAGACTCAGGCTCACGACGCTCTGTAAGACCTCCTGTGGGACCAGTGTACGGAGAGGGAGCAGGGAGAGGCGAGGTAGGTGGTAACTGTGACTGCGGCTGGACAGGCGGAGGACAGTCTACGGAGGGAGGAGGACAAGGAGGAGGAGCCTGCCCAAGAACCTGCTGAAGGAGCGGTACGAAGTACGGTCGCGGTCGCACAGCGTCTCCGGAAGCAGAGGAGACTCCAGCGGCCGGGTCCTCAGTACCAGCAGGAGCTCCAGCGTCCGGGTCCACAGCACCAGCAGCAGCCCCACCGGCCGGGTCCTCAGCACCAGTAGTAGCTCCAACGCCCGGGTCCTCAGCAGCAGTAGCAGTGCCACCGCTCGGGTCCTTTGCTCCAGCAGTAGCTCCACCGTCCGAGTCCTCAGCACCAGCAGCAGCTCCACCGTCCGGGTCCTCAGCACCAGCAGCAGCGCCACCGCCCAGGTCCTCAGCTCCAGCAGCAGCTCCAACGTCCGAGTCCTCAGCACCAGCAGTAGCTCCACCAGGCGGGTCCGCAGCACCAGTAGCAGCTCCCACGTCCGGGTCCTCAGCACCAGCAGCAGCGCCACCCCCAGGGTCCGCAGCACCAGGAGCACCACTCCGAAGACTGCAGCGCCGTGTGTACCACTCGCAGATCTGCTGAATGGGGGGGAGCTCCTGGGTAGGAGGGGAAGTACCGGAACGAGCTCCAGCAGCACCTCTCCGGAGGCGGCAGTACTCGAGGTACCTCTCCTGCAGCTGCTGGGAGGAGAGGGCTCCTCCAGGTGTAGCACGCACAGGCTCAGCACCCCCAGACGCAGCACCCCCAGGCTCAGCACCTCCAGGCTCCGCACCTCCTGGCTCAGCACCCCCAGGCTCCGCACCCCCAGACTCAGCACTCCCAGGCTCAGCACCCCCAGACGCAGCACCCCCAGGCTCAGCACCCCCAGACGCAGCACCCCCAGGCTCAGCACCCCTAGCAGGACGAGAGTCAACAGCTACCTCGACAGGCTCACCCGGGTCTACCTGGGACACACCTGAGGGAGCGGCACCCTGAGGGGGGAGGGGGTCTGGTACCTCAGCACCTGGAGCGAGGAAGAGAGGCGGGGGGGGGAGCGGGGCAGTGCGGTAGGGGAAGAGGCGGTAGTAGGGGACGGACTCGTCAAAAGTGACGTCCTGAGAGGCCAGGACACGACGCGAGGTGGGGTGGTAGAACTGCCAGCCAGGGGCGTCCGGGACAAAGCCAAGGAAGACGCAGGGGACAGCACGACGGGAGAGCTTGTCCGCGGACGTGTCGCGGACAAAAGCTCGGGATCCCCAGACCCGAAAACGCGACGCATCGCCAGCCTCTCCCGTCCAACGCAGTGTCGGAGAAGTCTCGGGCAAGGAGACACGGGGCCAGAGGTTGAGCTGATGCGCAGCGTATCGGACTGCAAACGGCCACAGAAAATGGGGGGCAGCCGCATGGCTCAAGGAGGTACGAGCGACCTCCATGACCAGACCAATGCGGCGCTCAGCAACCCCATTCTGCTGTGGAGAGGCCGGAAGCGTGTACGACTGCTCAATGCCCTCCTGCTGACAGAAGGCCTCCAATAGGCCAGAGGAGAACTCCCCACCTCTGTCAGAGTGCAGACGCAGGACAGGGAAGTCGGAGCGGAAACGCTCACGGAGCTGGAGACGAGATCTGCGGATCCAAGGGATCAAGACATCAGGGACGTCACCCTTGGCGCGCAAGGGGAAGACCGTGGTGTAGCGCGAGAAGTCGTCAACAACAATCAGGAAGTACCTCTCCTGACCCTGACCACGGACGCGGGCTGGGCCCCACACGTCCATGTGGAGCGTCTGCAAGGGAGCAGTCGTCGGGGGAAAGGAGGAGGAGTGAGGAGCGGCGCGCTGCCGTCCCTCGACACAGGGAATACAGGGAGGAGCAGGCGAGTCGGGAAGGGGAGGGAGCACCCTGGGAAGACCAGCAACAAGGTCCCGTTTGTGCATGGCCCGAAGGTGCTGCACAGACGGGTGACCAAGGCGGTGGTGCCAAAGGACAGTCTCATGCGCCAAAGAGCGACACGAGCAGGGGGCGGAGAGCTGACCTGACGCAGACGCAGACGCAGCTACCTGAGGGGACTCAGTGGTCAGTGTGTAAAGGTCCGACCCCGGCTCCCGAGTGAAGGTAGCCAGGTGGCGACCCGTCCGAGCACACGTGCAGTGTGTCACGCGCTCGTAGGCAGGGGTGAACTGGTGAACACCTCCGTCCTGGAGCGCACTACCTGCCACCAAGTTCGTAGAGAACGAGGGGAGGTAGAGACCTGACAGCGTGCCGGACGGGACCGCCGGACAAGGAAGGACAGTGGAGGAGGTCGCAATGACTGGACCCCCAGAGGGGTCAGCAAGGGAGACAGCAACTGGCCGAGCGAGTGGCTCAAGGACAGTGCGGTCACGAAAGAAGGAGCGAGAAGCACCTGAGTCCAGTGTGAAGGTGTGCAGTGCTGCAGTCGACTCAGTACCAGGGGGCACGGACGCACGAGCACCTAGGGCAGCGGCCTCACCAGGACCTGTGGGAGCAGACGCACTAGCACCTAGAGCGGCAGCCGGACTGGCCTGAATGCCCGGGTCGGGCGGAACACGCAAGTACTGAGCACCCTCTCCACTAATAGACATGGCATACATGGCAGTGAGAATAGCATCAAAGTCTAAAGCCCAAATATCAACACCCCTCTTTTCCAGATCAGCCCAGCGCGGCAGCTCAGTGGCAGCAGGAAACTGAGTGCGCCACGCGTCGTTAAGGCGCGCGAAGCACCGCTGCGTGGGGTGCGGCCTCCCACACTGCTGGCCGCTGCGGTCACCTGTGCGAATGACGTACGTGCAGGTAACGCTACGCTGCGCATACCACTCACGGGCGGCCTGAAGTGTCGGGGCGGGCTGCTGACTCTGCCCTCCGCCAGTGCCTCCACGACCACCACCCCCACCGCCGCCGCCCCGGCCACCTCCACCCCTGCCGCCGCCACGACCACCTCCGCCTCCGCTGCCGCCTCCACCACCACTCCCACCGCTGCTGTCTCCTCCCCCACTGCCGCCACTAGTCTCCCCAGCCGCGCCTCCACTCCCACCGCCTCCACCCCCACCTCCTCCGCCGCCACCCCCACCCCTGCCCCCCTTGTTCCTGCGGCGCCCACTCGAAGCAGACGCGGTCCCGACCTTCTCAGCACCAAGAAGGTCGACAGCAGCAGCAGAGGCGACAGAGGGGAGGAGGGGGGAAGGGGAACACCCCTCAAAGAACGGGGTGCGGGGGTCGCCACGAGAGGTGCCTACAGCGACGATGCTCGCCTCAGCTGCAAGCAGTTCCTTCTCGAGGAGGGCAACAGTGAGCTCAGTGGGGGAGCGAGAGAGGAAGTGGTCCCTGACTGCGCGCAGAGAGTCAGGAAGGCGGGTGACAACGTGGTAGAGAGTGATCCAGAGCGGGGGGGGGGTTGCTAGTGAGAAACTCGGCAGGCATAGCAGCGCGAAAGCGGGCCTCACTAGTCTTAAGGTGGGTGATGAGGTCTGCGACAGTGTGAAAGGAGGCTAGGTCGGGGAACAGGTAGGGGAGAGTGAGGCGGCCTAGCGTGGCAGAAGCTGGCGAGGAGTAGCGGGCAACTACAGCGGTGTAGAGGTCCTTAGCAGTCTTGCACTGGCCGAAGTGCTCGCGCTCGTCTAGCGGCAGGGAGTTGCGAATAGCAAAGCGAGCGTGCGCATCACGGGTCTGCCACTGGGAACGCAGAGTGCTGTCAGCAGACGAGTCAGGGGCAGTGGCATGGCCTAGGGCGTGGTCGTACAGTGAGATATCTTCCTTGGCAGTGAGCTGTAGGAACAGGTGCAGGTCATCGAGCCAGGTTTCGAACTTCACTGGACGGCCCTCGGCATCGAAAGCTAGAACTGGCGGGCTAGCCATAGTGACAGTAGCAGTAGTAGTAGGAAGCGTGGCAGCTGCAGTGGCAGCAGTGTGCGCGGTAGGTAGAAAATAAACAGCAGTGAGATCGAGTGCCTCGCAAGCAGCGGCTGCAGAGGCGCACGGACAGCAGTGGTGCACAAGCAGCAGCGGAAGCAGCGGCGTACGAGCGGTTTCGGGCAGCGGGGCGTCTGCGAGCGGCAGCGGCTGCTGGCCTGCGGCGCACTAGCGGTAGCGGGCGACTCACGGGCGGCGGCTGCAGAGGCGCACGGGCGGCAGCGGCTTATGCGCACGGGCAGCAGCGCCGACAGCGCACGGGCGGCTGCAGCAGCGAGCGGTGCGCAAGCAGCAGCGGCAGCAGCGCACGGGTGGCAGCGGCGTCGGTGCACGGGCGGCAGCGGCGTCGGCGGACGGGCGGCTGCGGGCAACGGGCGTGCGGCAGCTGCGGCGGCGAGCTGCGGGCCTGCGGGGCCACGGCGGGGTGCGCGCGAGCGGGCGACGGGCGGCTGCAGCAGCGGGCGCGTCAGCGAGGCGCACTGGCAGCGCGCGGGCAGCGTGCGAAGCCGCGCGTAAAGAAAAACAGCCGCGCGCGTGCGGCTAGCGGGGCGCGCGCAGCGAAATCGACCGCGCGCGGGCGGGTAGCGGGATGCGCGCGCTAAAAAAAGAAAAAGAAATCGAGTCGCGCGCGGGCGGCTGGCGGGCTGCGCGCGCGCGGTAGGTAGGAGGCGCACGAGGGCGCGTAGGCGCACGAGGCGCACAGTAGGTAGGTAGGTATGTAGGTAACGGTGGGCCCTAAGAACGGTCCTAGCGAAGGACCTGCTCTGAAACCATGTCAGAAATAACGGACTGGAATGATTGAACTAACAGGGAAATCAGTACAAATAGCAAACCCTAGAATTGTGTACCCCATATAGGCTAACCCACTGTAGCCTAACAAGCACAACATATATAATGTTCGACACACGCGGTCCACAGGACCAACAAGCCGGTTCGTCCACCCGGTCCTCTTGACCAACAGGCCGGTTGGTCCATTCGGTCCAGTGGACCAACAGGCCGGTTGGTCCACCCGGTCCACTGGACCAGCAGGCCGGTTGGTCCACCCGGTCCACTGGACCAGCAGGCCGGTTGGTCCACCTGGTCTACTAGACCAGCAGGCCGGTTGGTCCACCCGGTCCACTAAACCAGCAGGCCAGTTGGTCCGACCGGTCCATTGGACCAGTAGGCCAGTTGGTCCGACCGGTCCACTGGACCAACAGGCCGGTTGGTCTGCCTGCTCCACTGGACCAACAGGCCGGTTGTTCTGCCCGGTCCACTAGACCAACAAGCCGGTTGGTCCACCCGGTCCATTGGACGAGGAGGCCGGTTGGTCCACCCAGTCCACTGGACCAGTAGGCCGGTTGTTCCACCCGATGCGGAGATAACTACTATAACGGGAGCTTGACAAGGGGAAGGCACGTGTGTGAGAGGGATCTCTGCGTTCGTTCGTTCCTTAGTCGTTTCCTTGTGCGCACACTACTTGCTAGTTCACGGGGAGAATTGGCAAGAGTTCCACTAGGAAAACATAGCAAAACCGTTGGCAACACAGACTACATCAGAGCTAGCTAGGCTGCTGGTCGACCTCCAGCGCAGCACGGTCGACCACGTTCCAGCGCAGCAATGCTCGCACCGCTCCAGCGCTGCAGAGATGCGGCGTGCCAACGTTGCATGTCCACGGTGTGCAAACGCTGCATCATGATGGCTGTACAGCGATGCATCCGCAGGACAATGGTGCACCTGCTTCGCAGGTGTGCGCGGCTGGTTGGCGTCCAACTCCCCGTCACGTGCCCAGCGCAGACATTCCCGCTCGTGACGGCGCCCATCAGCCACGTCGACCTCGGGATACCACCCCCGAGGTCGTCCTCGCAAAACCATCCCCGGCGACCTTCGCACATGTCGCCCGAATATCCCGGTCGACCGGGCAACCCCGCCTGGTCGTCCAGCCCAGTCGATCGCCGGCCACACCAAGCCCCGCGTTTCAGGTCGGCGTCCTTGCGTCCTGGTCGGCGTCCATTCGCCCGGGACGCCGAGCAGACCCCCAGGTCGGCGTCCCACCTCCCAGGACGCCGAGCAGCAGCTCCAGTTGGCGTCCAGCCTCCCAGGACGCCGAGCAGACGCCTAGCACGGCGTCCAGACGCCCAGGACGCCGAGCAGACGCCTAGCACGGCGTCCTGGCGCCCAAGGCGCCGAGCAGACGCCCTGGTCGGCGTCCACCTGCTCGGCGCCCTCCAGCCGGACGCCCCCCAACGCCACGCCCTTGCAGTGGCCTCCGCGCCCACTGCTGCAGGTCGGGTGCATCTCCCCGCACAACCGACCACGAGGTCGGCTCCGCCCAAGCGAGGATGGGGTCACACAACACTCCCGTTGACACCCGGTCCACTGGACCAGCAGGCCGGTTGGTCCACCCGGTCCACTGGACCAGCAGGCCGGTTGGTCCACCCGGTCCACTAGACCAACAGGCCACCACCCGGTCCACTGGACCAACAGGCCGGTTGGTCCACCCGGTCCACTTGACCAACAGGCCTGTTGGTCCATTCGGTCCACTTGGCCAACAGGCCGGTTGGTCCACTTGGTCCAATAGACCACCAGGCCGGTTGGTCCACCCGGTCCACTTGACCAACAGGCCGGTTGGTCCAGCCGATCCTCTGAACCAGCAGGCCGGTTGGTCCACCCGGTCCACTGGACCAGCAGGCCGGTTGGTCCACCCGGTCCACTGGACCAACAGGCCGGTTGGTCCACCCAGTCCACTGGACCAACAGGCCGGTTGGTCCACCCGGTCCACTGGACCAATAGGCCAGTTGGTCCACCCGGCCCGCTGGACCAGCAGGTCGATTGGTCCTCCCGGTCAACTGGACAACCAGGTCGGTTGGTCCACCCGGTCCACTGGACCAACAGGCCGGTTGGTCCACCCAGTCCACTGGACCAACAGGTTGATTGGTCCACCCGGTCCACTGGACCAGCAGGCCGGTTGGTCCACCCGGTCCACTAGACGAGGAGGCCGATTGGTTCACCCCGTCTACTGTACCAGCAGGCCGATTGGTCCTCCCGGTCACTGGACCAGCAGGCCGGTTGGTCCACCCTGTCCACTGGACCAGCTGGCCGGTTGGTCCGCCTGGTCTACTGGACCAACAGGCCAGTTGGTCCGCCTGGCCCACTAGACCAACAGGCCGGTTGGTCCGCCTGGTTCACTGGACCAACAGGCCGGTTGGTCCACGCAGTCCACAGGATCAACAAGCCGGTTGGTCCACCCGGTCCACTGGACCAACAGGCCGGTTGGTCCACCCGGTCCACTGGGCCAACAGGCCGGTTGGTCCACTTGGTCCACTGGTCCAACAGGCCGGTTGGTCCACCAGGGCCACAGGACGAGCAGGCCGATTGGTACACCTGGTCAACTAGACCAGCAGGCCGGTTGGTCCACCCTGTCCACTGGACCAGAAGGCTAGTTGATCCGTCCGGTCCACTGGACAAACAGGCTGGTTGGTCTGCCTGCTCCACTTGACCAACAGGCCGGTTGGTCCGCCCGGTCCACTGGACCAAGAAGCCGGTTGGTCCACCCGGTCCACTGGACCAGCAGGCCGGTTGGTCCACCCGGTCCACTGGACCAGCAGGCCGGTTGGTCCACCCGGTCCACTGGACCATGTTGTGTGATGCAATCATATGCATTCACGTCTGTCTGCCTCCCATCAAATGTTCGTGTGTTGCATGCGTGGTGTGAGCGTGTGCAAGAAATTGTGTTTTGTGCGGTTTGGATTTCCTGAGTGTGTGTGAATGCTATTTGACTTGGGCAGATATCTGAAATGACTCCTCAGCTCAAGGGGTTTCCGACAAACCAAGAATCGTCGCGATCGGAGCAAGAACAAGAAAGTTACGAACGTTGGAGTTCGTATGCTTTCTGTACTTTGGTTGCGGCGACTATGGGAAGTTGTGGGGTTTGCTCCATAAGGGGTATAGACTTTTGGGGTTGGGAAATTCGAACCCATCACTATAGATTGCTGCCATATGTGGTTGGGAGCAGCCAAACCAGGTTGGCAAGTGTGGCCAAGTTGGGGTGAGGTGGATGGCATGGGTTGGAAAGTGACAAATGTCAAAGTTGGGTTGCCTATGGGGAAGGGAATTGTGTGGCATGGGGTTTTCCTTGGTTGGGGACTCCCTTGGGACCTTCTCTCTCGTCCTCCTCTTCCCCTTCCACCTGGTTAGTACTACTCCAACTCTCTTGTGTGTGTTACTTGTGAACTTCTGTGGAACCTGTGAGTTAATTGTAATTGAGTTAAGCTTGTGGCAGCCAACCCCCTAGTGCGCCGAAATTAATATCTCGCGAAATACTCCACCTTTTCATATGATTCAAATTGGAGCTTGTAGCCACGGTCTAGAGCTAGAACATACTCGGTTTTGTAGCCGCTGATTTTTCGGCGACGACGTTTCTTGTGAAGTCGCGGTTTCTGTCCAGAATTAAAAGTCAACGATTTTGTGATATTTCGGCACCTATTCTTCATTAAGTCAGTCCTTAGTCTCTAACAGACCAGCAGGCCGGTTGGTCCACCCGGTCCACTGGACCAACAGGCCGGTTGGTCCACCCGGTCCACTGGACCAACAGGCCGGTTGGTCCAACCGGTCCACTAGGACAACAGGCCGATTGGTCCACGCGGTCCACAGGTCCAACAAGCCGGTTGGTCCACCCGGTCCACTTGACCAACAGGCCGATTGGTCCATTCGGTCCATTGGGCCAACGGGTCGGTTGGTCCACCCGGTCCACTGGACCAGCAGGCCGGTTGGTCCACCCGGTCCACTGGACCAACAGGCCGGTTGGTCCACCCGATCCTCTGAACCAGCAGGCCGGTTGGTGTACCCGGTCCACCCGACCAACAGGCCGGTTGGTCCACCCGGTCCACTGGACCAACAGGCCGGTTGGTCCACCCAGTCCACTGGATTAATTGGCCGGTTATTCCACCTGGTCCACTACACCAGCA